CTTTCAGGTCACTGTACTCAAGTTCTTTTTGATATAATTTCTAATAAAGAGAAGGATCTTCGAAGACAGATGAAGGCAGTCTATTAACAATATAAACCGCAGTACTGAAAGCCTACCACCAGAGACACAATGGCATCCTAGCATGTGCTAGCAAGGTCAACACAAATTCTATGATGGTTTTGTGTCATCTCTCTACTGTACCATTTTGTTGATGGAGATAGGGACAAAGATGTCTAAAGCCAATACCATGCTACCGTGGATAGGCAGTAAAAGACCTAAACTCTCCTCCCTAATCAGTTTGCAAAGTCTTAAGTTTAGTTTCTAACTGTTTTTCAAAGAAACTATAGAAATGAGTAAATATTTTAAAAATTTCAGACTTGAATTTCAAAGGATAAATCCACATAAATCTACTATAATCATCCACAAATAACATGTAATATTTGAAACCTTCAAAAGAACTCATTGGTGCAGGACCCCACAAATCAAAGTAAAGTAGTTCAAGTGGTTTTGTAGTTTTAGAAGTAGATTTCGGAAAAGAGGCTTGAGACAATTTTATAGTTTGACAGGAATCACAAAACATGACATTATCAAAACAACCAGGTACATGAATCTTATTCATCACAGGCTTAAGAGTTTTTAATTGTGGATGCCCCAATCTAGCATGCCACAATTTTGTCAAACTAAAATGTACATCAGAATTCATTCCCTATGTAACAGAAACTTTACTATTATTGCAATTATTTGGATTGAAGCTGGAGGCAACAACAACATGACAAGATCCACTAGGAGCAGAAGTAGAGGCAACAATAGGCAAAGAAACTTGTAGCTGATATAGTCCATCCTTTAGAGGTCCTTGAAGCAATATCTCTCTAGTCCACTTATCCTTTACAAGACAATTATTAGAGTGGAATTCAACTATCACACCATTGTCTTTTGTAATTTGAGATATACTCAATAAATTTTTAGCTATATGGGGGACACACAACATGTTTTTAAGAAATAAAACTCTAGAAGAAGAGTCTAAGAAAGACACACCTGTGTGAGAGACATGAAACGTCTGACCATTGCCCACTTGGACTGTTTCTCCTCCTTGATAATTGTCCTGAATCACCAAATTTTTCAGGTCTGAGGTCATGTGATTAGTGGCACCAAAGTCCACATATCATGTTTGATCAGTTACTGTGTGTGGAGAAGCAACTGGGTGGTCCAATGAGTAGAAGCAGAATGTTGATTCAAGGTCGGTTGATCAGTTCCGAGATTACAGGTTTCAGATTGGGTTGCTGAGAATAGCCAAGTTGTGGGAGCTGTATTGATTGGAAACATAACTTCCAGTACAACTAGTTAGTACTCTGGACCATTTATCCCTGCTATATTGTACTATAAAAGCTGATTGACTAGGAAATTGACTTAGTACCATTCTGGTTGCTAAGGACCTGTGCTGATTCTGAGTTTGTGTATTAGTAAGGGTTGTGAGGTATTATCATGAGAAAATTTCCAGCATTGTATCCATATCCGAATGATATCTTGGTCTAGAATGGACAAAACCCTAATATTCATGATTAAACCTATAATAGCATTGTAATGCTAAATGACCTCCCTTACCACAAACTTGGCATATCAACTTTGGTCGAAAGTGACCTCTGCCTCTACTTTACTATGCACCATTTGAGAATTATACACCTGATACTTATTATGGAGGAAAACCTTCACCAGTAGCTAAATGTGAGTGTACTGTTGTTGTTACACAGGGTTAAAAACAGGTCTAGTAAAACTTGGTTCACTTATTTCCGGAAGATCGAGATAAACTCGTTGAGGATTCAAGATTGATGACTGTGATTAGGTATATTAGGAAACTGAGACTGTGAATGTTGGGTAAATGAGGTAGGATTATAACATAAGCACCATGAGGAGCAATAATTGGGAACTATTAGTAGAGTCATTTTGACTTTGTTTTGAGACCATAAGATCTTCATGAAAATTGGTGAAAGAGCATGTTGTTTTCTAGTCTAATTTCATGCTTATGAAGTAAAAATTGAGCTCCTATAATTTTGTTTGGCTACTGTTGAAACTAAATTAGCAACTACTGCATCATATTCAGGCCCAAGGCCATCTAAGATGACAACAAAAGTTCCTCATCAGTTATGTTAACACCACTAGAGTTATTCATCCCCTAATTCTTTCATCCTCAACACTACTCATTAATAGAAAACATCTTTCTTAGTAGTTTGCAGTAAATTTTTTAGATGTAGAGTCTGGCCTTAGAGCAAATTGAAAATGAAGTTCAAGAGTATTCCAAATCTCATAGGCAATACACATTTAGCTACATGACAAAACATTGTTTCAAAAATTGTAGAATAAAGCCAGTTACCAGAAATTGATCATTTTCTTCAGGCAAAATAGCTTGGATTCGACTTTTTCACAATTTGTTCAAGATCGTCTGATTCTCAAGCACAAACATCGTGGACACATCCTTTCTCTTGTTACAAATACTTTGATTCCATCGATGTCAAGGCTGGTAGAATTTGCGACCTCCAAAGCGAATAATTTCTCTCCAGCAATTTATAGAAATGGTGGCAAGGTAGGTGGATTCTTGGAATTGTACAATTCGTACTCTCAATATTCATTTCTCTGATTTTGAGTCAGGATTTGTTGAATCAAAGCTAGGATACCATAGACATTGGTCTAGGGCTCTGATACCATGAAGATTTTAGGAAAAGCAAAAGAAAAATAAGAGAATGAAGAACAAGGAATTCTAGAATTTGGAATTATTCTTACTAACTGAATTACAGAAAACAGGCGGCAAGTTTAATACACACCCTTACTTACAAAACGCAACGTTTCAACTAATAGTTGCTTTACACAAAATTACACTAAGGACATATTAGTTTGTAATCTTCACAACTACACCCATCTACATTCAAAACATATAAAACTGAAAGGTGATCAGATCAAACTCTTGTTACTCAACACTAGGGTACTTCCCAGTATTGATCACATTCCTCCAAATAAAATAGAAATATTTGGTATCATACAATGTGAGATAATACTATTGACAAATGACAAAATCACATAATATAAACAATTTATTGATGCTAACTAGTAATCTGAGTTCTAATTCCTCTGTAATCTACATGTCGAAGATTAAGAAAATTAACTTGGGTGGTCAAGTGTGTTGATAGGGACTCTGGGTGTATTACTAAGAGTTTTTAATTCGAGTCTCTCCTCGGTTGCTAATGGGTGTAGCTACTGGAGCTCTTATCTGTCAATAGTTCTAGGGTTTTGGGGGATTAGATGGGTGCGCGAAAGTTGGCCCGAACACCCTCGATTACAAAAAAAATGATGACTTAGAGGAGAGAGGTGTATATAAATACTTTTTTTTTTCAAAAAGAAAATTAATTAGTATTTTCAAAATAATTTTTCCGTTTCAAAAAAAGTAAATTAATATCTTTCAAAATACTTTTTTTGTTTCAAAAAAGAAAAATAAATTAGTATCTTTCAATTACAAAACAACAAATGGGTGATATATCAAAAGAAGTTTCTATTTCTTAAAAAAAGTTAAAAAAATGAAGGGAAACATATTTATAATTAAATTTTACAAAATACGATGTAATATTTGATTGTTACATTATATGATCACTGTACATATACATACAATGTTGCCACTATCAAATAGATATTACAAGTGAAAATGGCTAAATGCAAGACACAGACCTCAAGTTTTGAGAGATGATGGTGACTTCAAGTCAAATCCTCACGAAATATAATTTATTTAGTTTCTTTAAAGTTTGATGAATTTTATCATTTTAAAAGGACGCTGACTATCACCAGCTTCGTCACCTCATTATCTTCTTGTTCAGCTTCGGTTGTTGAGATGGATTCACTAAAAAATAGTACAGATATTTTTCATCTCATAAGATAATGTAAAATTGTATGAAGAACTGATGAATTCCAAGAACTGATGAAAATATGAAAATAATGATAATATTTGTCCTACTGATTGGCCGTATATAGTTCAGCATGAAAGGCATATCCTCGAGGAATCCCTTGTGAAAATTTAGAATCCAGTAATGACCGCCATTTGATTGGCCAGTATATAGTTCAGCATGAAAGGCATATACTCGAGGAATCCCTTGTGAAAATTTAGAATCCAGTAATGACGCCGTGAAAAGGGCAGAATTCTTATCTCTATCTTTATCTTGGCTTGTCCACAAGTGTAGCTATCAAAGTTTAAATTTCTGGGTACACCGTTTAAAGATTTGTAGGAAGAAAAAATAATGTAGTCCACACAACTCTGTGTGGGGCTGATAGTGAGTAATAAATGAAACAGAAAAATACTGTTCTGAATTCTGATGAGCTCAAACTTGAGTCATTTGGTTTGTGGAATACTCAACATTTATCTTAAGCTTGAAGATTTGTGTAATAATGAAGCTGGTGAGCAATTGAACAGATTGAAATACTTGTTGAATAAAGAGTCTATTTAAGTAGTTATAAAATTGGTGAGGCAATAGCGGAGATTAAAAACAATCTGGGTTTGAAAGTTACAAAAGGGTTCGTAAATCTCAATATATGTTCTGCTTGAATTGAAACTGTACTAATTTGAAATCAATGAAGCCAAGTTCAAAGGTTTGTATTTGTCTCTGATGTTTTAGGATGGAAATCTTAGAAGAAGACTTCAATGTCTTGTTTCAGGTTGGGCAAATCAACAACATTGAAATGATTTTTCTTAAGTCTGATAGAAGTTTTAAGGATCCAGGGTCTGATTACAACACCTTTTTTCTATGTAAATTAACATTTAAAAGGTTGAAAAACTTAAGCAAAGTTCTTAATGCTGCAATTGTTGTTTAATTATATCATTGTAGAAGTGGCAATATGTCAGTAATTGGTGCCCAGATCAACTGTGAGTTGCTTGTTCATCTTATTATTTTTGTATCAGCAAAACATTATAATTAAATTGGATCGAAGCTCAACACAACTTAGAAAAAGAGAAAGGAAAAAGAAGATTCATACAGAAATAGAGTTGGCAAGAAACTACCTTTTATTCAACAATTCTCACCCATTCCATCGGAATCCGGACCAGAAATTGAAAAGAAAGGGAAAGAAATATCTCCAAAAACAAAACGGAAAACAGCAAAAAAAAAAAAAAAAGTAGTGTTCAGAAACAGCCTAAGTACAGTTTAAAGAAACAAACCGACCCTCATGAACGAAGGGCACATAATAATCATAAGAAAGAAATAAATTTAGACGCCTGGTGGCTTGTAGGCAATGAAACTGATGCACTGCACTTGACGCTTGTTGTCGAATCCAATGATTCGGATAAAGGCATTGGGGTATGCCTTCTTGCATTCCTGGAGCTCCTTGGCCACTTGTGCCGGATCTGTGCATCCGAACATGGGCAACTTCCACATCACCCAGTAGCGTCCATCATAGTATCCTGGAGACCTGTGGTTCTCACGGTAGACGAATCCGTGCTACAAACAATTTAAAACACACCAATTATCAGCTGATTTCTGTTGTGGAACATTGGGTCAAATACTCAATCAATAAAGTAGAAACATCTAAGGAAACGAGCCACAATATCCCGACAATTTCGGACTAATTATGACGGCTGCACTAGAAAAATATGTAAAGTTATATCACAAAAATGACCTCCAACTCGAATTCCAAGCAGGGAACCCATCCCTGGCGGAGCAGGTAAGCGATTTCCTTCAACAAAGACTCTTCAGTGAGTGGTGGAAGGTAAGAAAGGGTCTCGAACTTCTTCTTTCCAAGTGGTGGCCACACCTGAAGTCATGAAAACAAAAGCAAAATGAGCATTTTTTAACATGGGTTGTGTTTGTTTTCTGGTGAAGAAAGAGTTGAATTTTGGGTAATTAATTGAGGACCTGCATGCATTGGACTCTTCCGCCATTGTTGGAGACGGAAGTAATGTCATTGGTCTTTCTGGTAACTGGGAAAGCTGAGGTAGACTTGAGGCCATTGAAGGGGGCAACCATGGAGGCCTGAGCCGGGCTGGCGCGGTTCACGGTGGCCACGGTGGCTGAAGAGATCATTGAGGAAGCCATTTCTTCTTTCTTCTTTTGCTTAGAGTTGCAAACTTTTTGCTCTCTTAATAGAAACTCTCTGTAGCATCAGTCGCTATATATAATGATAGCATCAGGCTATCTCAAATCCTATGGACAGAAATTTCTCAACTAGATTTCGAATAAATTATGACCGTAGGATTGATTAAAAGATTACCTCGCACCATAATGTCCACATGAGGAATGAAAAATTTGAAAGTTAGCCTTATCATTAAGCTCCACAATGACACGGCCACGTGGAAGAGGGTTCATTATCTTATCTCATCCAAGTCTCCATGAATGTGTGATGATGGTTGGTTTCAATTTTTCTGCAGTCTTTTCTTTGTATCCTCTCTTTCTTGCCTAAATATCAGAGGAGAAAGTCATATACAGGACAAGTTGTGGCCAGTCCTACTTTTCTAATGGCCGCTCTGTTAATGTCTTTTATTTTTTTTACCAGTGGAGTTTTTATGGTGCAGTAACTTTAGGCATTTGGTCTTATTATCAAAGTTGAGTCTTTGTGGGGTAAGAAATAATTTTGAGGGAGATGGAGAAGAAACCCCACTACCAGAACTTTAAGGAAAATATTTGAGGAACATGGGAAAAAACCCCACTATCAGAACTCTAATAAAGTGACTCCAAATTTTCCAGAGTTTGAGGAGTTGAAAGGTTGATGGAAGTGAAGTGCATTTCTATTTCCTTCTATCTCTATAGTTGTTCCATGGCCCAGATCTTTAACAGTTCAGGATTGCTCAATTTTCCCACAAGACTTGAGTTTGCTCTTGTCATTACAGAACAACGAATTACTCTGGACCATAATTTTATTAGTCTTGTAAATTAAGCAGTGGAATAAGACGATGATCTCAAAGCATATGAATCAAGGCTAAAATTATAAAACTTCAGGGTCCAGTACAATCAGGTTAATGTTGTTTACATTATTGTACAATTAACTTTTCTTCTTGATTTTCTTAGTTGGTTGATTTTGGGAAGATATATGTGGTTGACGAAGAAAACAGTCAAAATAAGCCCCTGTTTCATTCTTCTTCTTCTCTGAGAATGTTCAATCAACAATGATGGTGAAAGCCTGCAGAAAAGAGTAATGGAGAACGGTGTGTTCTCTTTTCTCCCCTGAAGTGGAACTGAATGTCAAGACTTCCTGTAAAAAAAAAAAAAACAGGAATAAAAAAAATTCCTCTTTTCTGTATATTACTATTCATGAAAATAACCATTACAAGATATACTGGTTTTCCTGATATCTATTCACATAAAATCAGTAACTTATTTTTAAAATTTAAAATAAAACTGAAATCCTGGGCAATCAGTTTTGACTCATTCACAACAAAATCTTAATCTTGATATGTAATCTTCAAGACTCCCCGTCAAGTTGAGCATGCAAGTTAGCAATGCCCAACTTGTCTTTTAGCTTATCAAATTGATCTTTTCCCATAGGCTTGGTAAATAAGTCCGCTGGTTGCAAGTGAGTGGGAATATACTTTGTTGCTATTTCCTTTGACTGCAGCTTCTCAAATGACAATCAATTTCAATGTGTTTCGTTTTTTCATCAAACATTGGATTTGCAGCAATATGCATAGCTACTTGGTTACCACAGTATAGCTCAATCGGGTCGATAACTTTGACTGATAAATCTTTAAGTAGACCTTTCAACCATATTAACTCACTTGCAATGTTCGCCACTGCACGATACTCCACTTCAGCTGATGACTTTGACACTGTAGTTTGTCGCTTTGATCTCCAAGTAACGGAAGCTTTTCCTAGTTTTATGAGAAACCCGGTCATTGATCTCCTAGTCATAGGACAGTCTGCCCAATCTGAATCACAGAATGCTTGAAGACAAATTTCATTTTCCTTTGGAAGAGGATGCCTTGTCCTGGTGCATTTTTCAAATATCTTAAGAATTTCATGGCTGCTTCCCAATGTGGCTTCCTTGGTGCATGCATAAACTGGTTGATAATGCGCGCAAGTTGTGGAAAGACTTGGAAGAAAGGTTTTCACAAGGCAATGCTCCTCGTGTCCATGAATTAAGAAGAGAGCTAGCCTTGACAAAACAAGGAGACCAGAGTGTGTCAAGTTACTTCACACAACTTAGAGGCTTGTGGGATGAGCTCGGAACATATAGAAAAGCAAAAGATTGTACGTGTGGAGCAGCAAAGGATCAACTAGAAGAAAGAGAAGAGGAAAAACTCCATCAATTTTTAATGGGCTTGAATGATTCTTATGGTGTGGCAAGGTCTCGGATCCTCAATACCGAGCCACTTCCTTCTCTCAACAAAGCTTACACACTAATTATTAGGGAGGAACGGCAACAGGCGACAGTATTAAAAATGGGACCAGTTGAAAGAGCTGCTTATAGTGCAAAGGTTTTTCAGAGAAACTCCAAGGATGTGCATGAAAACAGAGGAAACAGGTTCCGATGTGATCACTGCAAGAAAGTTGGAAACACAAAAGATAGGTGTTATGAGATTGTAGGCTATCCAGCAAATTGGGACAGAAGAGGGAAATCGGGAAACAAGTTCAAACAAAGCAAGGCCACTGTTCACAATGTTACTGGTGCCACAACTGAAGAAGAAGCATCACCAATAACTGGACTCTCAAAGGAGCAGTATGATCAGCTGATGGCTCTTCTTTCAAATGACAAAAGTAGTGAGGTAGCAAACTTTTTGGGTAAGATCACTAGTTCCAATAATAAAAATATGAAATGGATTTTTGATTCTGGAGCGTCAGATCATCTTAACTCTGTGATGGACAGCATGAAGGATAGGCAAGAGCTCAAAACTAAATTTCCTGTTAGCTTGCCGAATAGAAGTAAGATTCCTATAAAGATGACAGGATCGGTTATACACACACCACAAATTAGCGTTGATAATGTTTTATATGCTGAAAATTTTAATTGCAATCGCATATCCATCAGTTGAATTACTAAAGATCTGAATTGTGCTGCCATTTTTTTGCCAAATTCTTGTTTCTTGCAGGACCTTGCCTTGAAGAAGTTGATTGGTCAAGGTAAGGTGGAGGATGGATTATATTATCTACAAACAATAAAGTCTATGGCAGGATCAGTGACAACGGATGAAGACATGGTTAAGCTATGGCATAAGAGATTGGGGCACCCTTCGTTTGACAGACAAAGGTTGATTTCTGGCTTGTCACATTTTTCGGATGATAATTTGAAGTGCTGTAACATTGTTTTCCTTTAAGTTTCAATAAATTAGAGACAAGTTTTTCCTTATTACACTGTGACATCTGGAGGCCATATAGGACTCCATCTCATTCTGGAGCAAATTATTTTTTTACTGTGGTAGATGATCACACATGATGTACGTGGGTACATTTGTTGAGACATAAAAGTGAGGTTTGTCAAATAATGATTAATTTTTACAAGATGATCGAGACTCAATTTGGGAAAAGGATTAAAGAAATAAGGACAGACAATGCTTTAGAGCTTGTGGGAGGAAATTTTAAAATTTTCATGCAAAGGAATGGAATTGCTCATCAAACAACCTGCCCACACACCCCCCAACAAAATGGGGTTGTGGAAAGAAAACATAGACACCTGTTGGAGGTGGCCAGAGCACTACGTTTCCAAGACAACTTACCAATCCAGTTTTGGGGAGAATGTGTACTTGCAGCAGCATACCTTATCAACTACATGCCCACTCCACGTCTAGGAGGAAAGAGTCCTTATGAAGCACTATTTGAGAAGAAACCCTCTTATGATTTCCTTAGGATTTTTCGGGTGTTTATGTTATGCTTACATTAATCCCAAACCAACTGATAAGTTCTCACCTCGGTCCAAGGCATGCATCTTTGCTCTGATAACATGTAAAAAAAAAAAAGGAATAAAGGAAATTACTCTTTTTCTGTATATTACTATCTATGAAAATAACCATTATAATATATACTGGTTTTCCTGATTTTATGTGTCCTGATATCTATTCGCATAAAATCAGTAACTTATTTTTAAAATTTAAAATAAAACTGAAATCTTGGGCAATCAATTTTGACTCATTCACAACAAAATCGTAATCTTGATATGTAATCTTCAAGACTTCCCTAAATACTAGAACTTAGAACACCACTTCCTTAATGCAAACTTATTCCTTGAAGATAATACAACAGGGGATGACAAACAGTTGTAGGGAAGGGAACTACTAATACTTGCATGGTTAAACTGCAAATTGTAGTCAAACTATCTTCCCTTTGACTCAACAAAACCATACATCAGAGGTGAAAATTAAAGTAAGATAGTGTTACCTTAGACAAAACTGTCTTTGATATGAAGCATGAAGCCATGAACAACAGATACTAACTACTATTTAAATTTAATACCTTGTTCTTTCTTATTGCAAATAGGATCGAGAATTACAGGGCCACCGATTAGGTTTGTATGTTTAGTAATGGGCGTTGGAATGTCAAATTTCTAAAGGTAACTAATAGGAAACTCCCCTCAAGTTTTAAGTATTCTACACCCTAAATGGATGAGAAAGAAGAGCAACTTCCCTTGAGTTAGTGAAAAAAGTCTACTCATTTACTCCTCTGCCCTCTCATCAATCGATCAAACATTCCTAACTAATAGCCCAATCTACGAAACAACTAAATTGAGGCTTAGTTTGGAATTGTTGTAGCCTCTTTCATAATCACTTATGTCAGCTTAGAGGTGGTCAAGGACCGGTCCCAAGTAGGCCCGGGCCTGGGCCCGTAGGCCCATGAGCAATTTTAGGACCCGGACCGGTCCTATGGGCCTGCAAAATTTCTTTTTCCCCTTCTATCTTTTTTTATATTTTAGGGGCGAAATGAAATTATGTAGAGGGTTTAGTAATTTTCAGGGGTAGATTAGTAAGTTTCTAAAAGTTTAATTAAAATTAATTAATTAATTTTAAAAAATAATAAACTAATTAATTAATTAATAGTTAATTTTAACATAAATGTAATATTCACACATTCACTTCGCAAATAAACAATTAAATAAATTTTTTTAATTAAATTATTCATCTTCATCGTCAACAATATTTAAATCATTAAAATCTGTATTCCTAAAGAGTTCGAGTAGTT